CGCGGGCCACGCCCCGCATTCGCTGGCACTCCTGAAGCGCTTCCCCTGCCTCGGTCTCTGAGCCAGTGCACACTGGTGGGCCGCCTCCTCCGTGGCCTTCCTGCGCTCGTTGTACCACTCAGGCGCCTTCCGCTCACTCTCTGCTGCCTTCACCAGGGCCGCCTTGGCCATCTTTTCCGCTGCTTCCGCCCTGTTGTACGCCTCAGGTTCCGTTTCAACGTCTGGCGGCGCGGGGTGAGGGTCCAGCCTGATGGTGGACGGGGGCTGGGCGATGTGGGGCGCGGCAGCCTGGACAGCTTGGAGCAGTTTTTCGGGTATTTGTTCAACACGCTGCTTGCTCCAGTCCCCGTTCTCTGTGCCACGCCCTTTGTCTGTAGTAGTGCGTGCGCGTCGCGATTTGGGCCATTCGCTCCACGAAGACCACCCTGCTGCTTGCCTCAAGGCCTGCTGCAGCCTCGTATACCAAACACGAGCCACGGTTCTTCTAAGACCATTTGCACCCTCACGGCCCACTTTTGGTATATCCATCCATGAAAGTGACCTTCCTGAAATGCTCTGCAGAGCTCACCAATCTCACTTGGCTGCAGGTGGGTTACGCTCCACAGAGCGCGCCGACCTAGTCTTGCTAAAGACTAGGTCCAGCCTTGGGAGAACCAGGCGAAATAATGGAACGCTGGCCGCGGATCAGCGGTATCCGTGTGGCCCACGGGAACCATAAGCTTGAGCCAACATGGCTACGGAGGAGGCGGAGGAAGAGGAGGACGAGCGACATGGTGCAGGTGGTGTTTTTTGTGATAACGGTTGTGGTAATGACGACGACGACGGTGATGGTGATGGTGATGGTGATGGTGAGGGCGGTAATGATGGTGATGTTGATGGTGATGGTGATGGTGATGCTGATGGTTGTCATGATGATGGTGATGATGATGGTGATGATGATGGTGATGATGATGATGATGATGATCATGAGAACGATGATGACGACGATTATGATACTGATGATGGTGATGGTGATGATGGTGATGGTGATGATGGTGATGACGTTTGTGGTGATGACGACGGTGACGGTGACGCTTACGGTGACGGTGATATATGGTGATGTTGATGGTGATGGTGACGATGATGTAGCTGATGATGATGAACATGCTGATGATGGCGTTGCAGATGATGATGGTGATTATGATGATGATGATGATGATGATGATCATGATGATGATGATGATGATGATGATGATGATGATGATGATGATGATGATGATGATGATGATGATGATGATGATGATGATGATGATGATGATTATTATGATGCTGATGATGATGATGATACCTGATACTGATACTGATACTGATACTGATATTGATGATGATGATGATGATAATCACGACGGTGGTGATGATGTTGATGCTGATGATGATCATGAACAATTTGATGCTGATGTTGATTGTGGTGATGATGATGACGATGATGGTGGTGATGGTGATGATGGTGGTAATGGTGATGCTGCTGCTGCAGATGATGATGTTGTTGTTGTTGTTGATGATGATGATGATGATGATGATAATGGTGATGATGATGACGATGATGAGGATGGTGATGATGATGGTGACAAGGCAGCGGTGGCTGCGGAGCGCCCGCCCCCCCGCGCCCAACGAGGCTCTGGCCCCGCTCGACGGCTCCCGAACCCGTGGCGGGGACAGCGGAGGCGGCTTCGTCAGGTAGCGAGGGAAGAAAGTTGGCGGCGAGTCAGGGAGGTAAGTGAGATGGAGGAGGCCTTCTGAGAAGGCGGCGGGGCTTCTCAGACGCCCTCCAGCTTTCTGATACATTTTCTGTTTTTTTGGGGAAGGCTCAGAGAATTTCTCAGAGGGCCGAAGGGTTTCTGAGCCATTGAGAAGGCCCGCCCCCTCTCACTTCCTCCCCGGGCTTGGCGCCTCAAGATGTCGCGGGATCTTGTCGACGCCAATCTTGGTCATGGTCCATGCGGGCCGTCGCCGATTCGCGAGGATGATTCACGAATTGGCATTGACCAAGATGGATGTTTTTACCAAGATCGGCACGACGTTTCCGCGTTTAGTCTTGGTCATGGTCTCCGTTTCCTTCCCCTTCGAGGCAGAAGAGCTGGGACACGCTGCCAGACGGGTCCCCGAAGGTGCCCTCGAAGCAGCAGGCCGTTACGCTGAGGACCCCGCTGGGGCCTCGAGACTAGGTGCTGGCGGTAGACCGTCAACTTCGGTTACCGCCAGAAGCTTTCCGAGTTTTCTTTCGTTATTTCGTTTTAGGATCACTGCAGCGACCCCGCCGCCTGCGAGGTTAGCCCCCGTGTGCCAACAGGAATGTGTATCCCCTTCCCTGCCCGACATCTGCGGCAATTTGGGTTCAGGCGCTCGGTTGTTTCTGAATGGTTGTTGGGCGCTGCTGCTGGCCGTTGGGCCAGCGCCTCCGACGCAGCGCCGCGGCGGAGCAACAACTTTATCCCCCTTGGCGCCTGGCATGCCTTCGCGCAGGAGGAAGAAGGAGGGCACCGAGGCGGCAGACCGCGGAGGAGGGTCGATATCGCGTGGCAGCGCTCCGTACGATCCCCCGGGACGGGGGCCAGGCCGCCAGGTGCGCGACCGTGGAGAAAGGCGGGGAGCGCGTGGCACCGCTCTGTACGACTTTCCGGGGCGGGAACCGAGCCGCCAGACTGGCGGGGTCCCCATTTCGTCGAGCTCGCAATCGGGCGAAGAACGCTGGCAAGAGGTCCGAGGAGGACGCGTGGCTTTTGAGATCGCCAACGAGATGAAATTCACGCCCGTGGTCAAGTAGGCCGACGGCACGCGTAAGTTCGGTGGTGGCCACGTGGTCGTGACCAACCCGGTTACGTGCCATGTCTGTGAGGACGAGCGCGGCAATGCCGAGCAGCGCCAAGGGTGCGAACGGAGTGACTTGCCGCAGCAGGCTCCTCTACTGCCCAACGAGCTGCGGCAAGAGAGTGCCAGAGACCGAAGTCATCGGCTCAGCGCCGGGGTCATCGTTTGCGCAGCGGGGCGGCAGGCTTCGGCGTTGCTCATCGAGCGGCGACGAGGAGAAGCTGCTGACCACCGTCAGCGGCTACAACGCAGATGCGACATGTATAGCGCAGGGCCGTTCACTACATGTTCGCAACCAGGGCTGTTCATTCGATGGTTGCTCCAGTAGTTTAGCCTGGGTTCCTGTCGTGCGGCAGGTCGAGGTTGGGCCCCAGCATTGCTCAGCGACCAGCGGCAAGAGGGAGCTTGAAGCCAGCGTCGTCGGCTACAACTGCGGGGTCAGCGCCTGCGCCGCAATGCGGGCGAGCCGCGGCAGCAGTCTTAGGTGCTGTTCAGCGAGCCATGGCGAGAAAACGCTGGAGACCAGCTTCAACAGCTTCAGCGCTGGGATCAGCGCCCGCGGTGCGAGCGGGGTGCGCCGTCGCAGCTGGCTCCGCGCTGCCCAGCGAGCTGCGGCAAATGGGTGCTAGAGACCAGCGCCATCGGCAACGGCGCTGGGGCCTGCGCCTGCGACGCGACGCAGCCGAGCCGCGGCGTCGGGCTTCGGCGTCCACGAGTTGGACAAGGACTGCCTCGAGTACCCAGTTGCGGATCAGCACGTCGGGCACTGGTATCTCGATGTCGCGCGGCATTGCGGACAGCAGCAGATCGTCGCGGAGAGCCGCGAGCAGCGCCCGCAGCGCCTCGTTGACGAGCGCGCTGGAGAGTAGCAACCCCGCCCGGAAGCCCACGGGCGGGGCGCGCGCAGCCTCGGGCACCGCGTCGCAGAGCAGCGCGGCTGGGACAAACATCTCGGCGTGCACCAGCACGTCGGAGCGCAGCAGCGCGACGCTGCGCCGCGCTGGTGGCCGCCGCGGTGGGCGCGGGCATGGCGACGTCGAGCACCAGTTCGAAGTTGACGTTCACGAGTGGGGCGAGCATTGCCTCGAGCACCGCGTCGCGGAGCCGTGCGACGGGTCTGGCTTCGCGATCTCGGGCAGCAGCGCGTCGGAGAGCGCCGGCCCTACTCTGGCGCCCACGGGCGGCGCGGGCGCGGCCTCGAGCGCTGCGTCGCTGCCCGCTTCGTCGGGCACCAACGGGGCGCAGCGGAGCAGCGCGGACGGGGGCGACCGCTCGACCCCGACGTCCACGCGCGGGGTGTCGAAGCCCAGGAATGCGGGGGCGGAGTGCGACGCCGAGCTTGGGGCGCCGCTGCGCCGCGCCGGCTCGCGAGGCTGCGACGGCGCGATCACGCGGCCCGCGGCGGCGGCGCGCGCGGATGGCGGGCGCCCCCGCCCGCGCGAACGGCGAGCGACCGGGGTCGAAGGCGCCCCCGCGGTTTCGATGCAGGACGCATCGTCTAGGATGGCGTCGGCGACGAGATCGGCGTCGCTGGGCAGGACCTCGTCATTGCGTTCGACTGCCGCGGGCCCCCGAAGCCCGAGGGCTTCGACATCGCCCAGAAGTTCGCCCATGAACCCTGCCGTTAAGTACCGGCGGACGCACAGCGGGGTGGAGGACATTCGCATCGGGCTGGTGCTGTTCAATACCTCGACGACGGCGCTGTCGCGGCGGCGCTGGGGGCGGCCCCGAGCACGAGCGACCTCGGGCCAGTCTGCGCGGCGACCGCCAGACGGCAGCTGCGGCGAGAGGACGCTGAGGTCCAGCGCCATCACTTTCGACGCCGGGACCAGCGCCCGTCGATGCGAGACGGGCGAGCAGCGGCAGCAGGCGCCGACGCTGCCCAGCAAGCTGCGACGAGAGGAGCTGAAGACCAGCGCGATCAGCTACAGCGCGGGGATCAACGCCCTCGAAGCGAGACCGGCGAGCCGCGGCCGCAGGCTCGGGCGCTGCGCGGCGAGCTGCGGCTCGAAGAACTCGGAGTCTACATCGGCGACGGCGCGGGGGGCGGCGCCCGTGATGCGAGGCGAGCGAGCCGGGGCGGCGGGCCCTGGGGCTGCCTGGCGAATTTCTACGCGAGGAGTTGGAGACCAGCTTCGCCAGCTACAGCGCTGGGCTCAGCGCGCGCGGGGGCGGGCGCGGCAGCATCCCCTGGCGCGGCGCCGCGGGCCGCTGCGAGGGAAGACGGAGGCCAGCGGCAGCGGCTGCGACGCTGGGATCAGCGCCCGCGGTGCGAGGCGCGCGCGCAGGGGCGGCGGGCTCTGGCGCTTCTCAGCGAGTTGCCACGAGTGGATGCTGGAGACTGGCGCCACCTGCCAAGGCTAGGGCCAGCGCCTGCGAAGCGATGCGGGCGAGCCGCGGCAGCTGGCCCCGGCTGCTGCGAGTGGAAACAGGAGACCAGTTTTATCAGCTACAACGCCGCGGCCAGCGCCGCCGGGGCGAGCCGCGGCGGCGGGCTCCAGCACCGCTCCGCGAGCTGCGAAAGAGGAAGCCAGAGACCGTCGTCATCGGCGGCCCCGCTGGAATTGGCGCCCGCACGCGGCCCCGCAGGTGTGGCGAGCGGCTCCCGGTGGCGCTTGAAGCGGCCCCGCCCGGGCGCAGCGCGCGGGTCGCGCTGGCGGCGGCCGGCGGCGGGCCCGCCCGGGCGCGACGATGGGCTCGCGCCAAGGGCTGGCCCGCCCAGGCGCGACGGGCGGCTCGGGCCAGCCAAAGCGCGTCGGGCGGCCCGCGCCAGGAGGCGAGACGGACGAACCGCGGTAGCAGGCCCCGGCGCTGCTCAGCGACGTCCGCGCCCCCGCGCCGCGGACTGCGCGGGAGGCCCGCTCGATGGCCTGCGCCGGCGGCGCCCGGAGAGCGCGCGGGCGGCCGGTGCCCCCGTCCGCGCGAACGGCAGGCGCCCCAGGTACAGGCGCCCCGTCCGTTTCCAGGCGCACGGGGGCAACGCCCAGAATTGCGTCGGCGACGAGATCCGCGCAGTCGCCGGACTGCCTGGCCACCGCCTTCTGGGCGAGCCGCAGCCGCCGGCAGCCGCGCCGCGCGGCAAGCTGCTCAGCGAGCTCCGGCGAAAGGAGGCTGCCGATCAGGGTCATCGCTGCAGCGCCGGGGCCAGCGCCGGCGATGCGATGCAGACGAGCAACGGCGGAAGGCCCCAGCGCCGCCGATAAGGCCGCTGCGAGAGGGGGCAGGAGACCAGCGCCATCAGCTACACTGCGGGGACCAACGCGTGCGATGCGGAGCAGGCGAGCCGCGGCCGCGGGCCCCGGCGCTGCGCGACGAGCCATTGCAAGAAGCAGTGGGGGCACGACGTCGTCAGCCACGGCGCGGGGGGCTACGGCGCGAGGTGCGCGCGCCGGGGCAGGGGGCCCCGACGCGGCTCAGCGAGCCTTTGCGCGAATGCTGTCGGCTTGCGTCGCCAGCGACATCGCGGGATCAGCGCCCGCGGGGCGAGACGGGCGAGTCGCAGCAACGGGCTCCAGCGCGGCTCAGCGAGCCGCGGCGAGAGGGCGCCAGAGACCAGCGCCGCCAGTTCCATCGCCGAGATTAGCGCCAGCGAGGCTAGACGAATGCGCACTTTCACAGCGCCGTCGCGGCGGCGCCAGAGGCGCGGGCCTTCGCGGCCCCGATCGCCGAGAGCGCGCGACGGGCGGTCCGAACGTGCTCACGGGTGGGGCGCGCGGGCATTGGGGGCCCAATTTCGAGCGCATCCCAGGCCTGGGGGCGCTCGTCGACAACGAGCCCGAGTTCGGCTGGAAGCTGGAGTACGGCGCCGTTTGCTACGGCGCGGGGAACAGCTCCAGCGGCGCAAATGCGCGAGCCGAGCAGCGAGCCGTTGCGCGAGGACGCCGTCGACCCGCGCCGCCAGCTGCACGCGCGTCGCGGGATCAGCGCCCGCGGGGCGAGGCGAGCGAGCCGCGGCAGCAGGCTCCAGCGCGGCTCGGCGAGCTACGGCGAGAGGGCGCCAGACGCCGGCGCCGCCGGCGCCATCGCCGGGCCACCGCCGAGGTCGGCGCCGGAGTGGCCGAGGCGAGCGCGCGCTTCGACAGCGGCGGCGGCGCGGGAGGCGCAGGCCTTCGCGGCCCCGATCGCCTAGAGCACTCGAGCGCGCCCCGGGCCCCGCGGCGCTCATCGACGCGATCGAGGGGCCCGAGTTCGCCCGGAAACTGGAATGCAGCGTCGTCTGCCGGAGCAGCGTCGCCGTCGCCAGCTCGAGTGGCTTGCGGCGGGCATTCCCTGGGAGGGAGCGGGGCCGCTTCAGGCTGCAAGGCGGCGTCGCGCGCGTCGGCGACAGCTCGC